TCCTCCTCCTCCTCCTCCTCCTCCTCCTCCTCCCCCTCCTCCTCCTCTTCCTCCTCCCCCTCCGCTTCCTCCTCCTCCTCATGACCTCGGGGGAAGAAGGGGGGCACTGCAACCGTCCAGAAGCGGCACTTCTCCCCCACGGCCATCAGCTGCAACCCCTCGGTCCAACCCTTGATGACCTCGGGCGCGGGCCACGCTGCCGAGGAACGAGGAGCCTGGAGGGCGGAGGATAACGGGATAGGCACGAGCAGTCGAATGGGGGTGGGGTGTTGACGGGGAAGGCGAAATTGAAAGGGAGAGGGACAAATGAAGATGGCGGTGCTCCGCAGAGCCTGTGCACTTCTGAATGCCAGAGGTGCTGAGGACACGTGAAGGGACTGCTGAAGGACTCTGGTAAAGTTAGTAATGTGTCACCTGCGTACCACAAACACTGAGCAACGATGCCAGGCGCCAAGGCCGACGGTTGAGGATGAAGACGGGGATGGGGTGGAGGGCGAATGGGGGAATGATGGGGACGGGAAGCAACACGTTGGAAGATCTACGTAAGGTGTAGACGTTCGTTCAACGACGAAGGTCGCTCCAGGGGCATGTGGCCGAGTAGCTCGGTCGATCTCGGGGCGCTGTGACTGACTGCAGAGATCTGATACGCGTTTCGCCACGTGCAGCGCTTCCAATTACGGACCTCTGTCTAACGTTCAAACGGAAACTACCGAGGTCGGATAAGACTGCCGTCGGTGATGCTAACACACACGTTCGTTGAAACGCGGGCAACCAACATCAAACGATCGCTATGCTTCTCGGTGTATCTAGCTGATGAAGGGTTCGTGAACCTGCTCGCCGCTACTCCTCCCAAGTTCGTTGCGGCTGCAAGTCTGTAGTACGTATCGCCGAACCTGGTCCGAACAGCACAGCATGGGGACCAAATGTGCACATATGTCTATGAGTAGGTGGGCGATCGAGGCTATGGTGATTCCAGGCTGGGGGGAGGCCGAATAGGAGACCGAAGAGGCGGCCCACGAGGAAGCGGCACTTCTACCATGGGCTTCAGATTGAGGACACCGCACCGGTACACATGCGCGTGCACGATGCATCACAAACGGCAAGCGCACGCACCCACTTGATACCACGCAAGCCAACCCCTGCCCAACTCGATGGCCCCATCCGAATTCGACAATCTGGTCCGAACGTAATACGGGCAACTCTGATGGAAAGAAGTGGTGGGCTAGAGAAGTTGTTGGTCGAGCCATGAACGGCTGCATGATGCAGAGCATACGCGTAACGCGGCCCAGGCCTCTCAACGCATCGGATCATCACAGATCGTCGCAGGCACGGAAGCGCCAACGCCCATTCCATCTGTATGGAAGGTGCTTGCTGGCATGCTCTCACATTGGAGTGGCGCCAGGGTCCGACGCGCTCTGAGGCCCGTCGGCGACAGCATGTCCGCCTAGCTGAAAACGGCCCGCTTCTAGAGCCGCCTTATCACCTTGAGGACATGATTTGCGAACGCCTTAGATAGGGACGGTATGGCATGAATTTCAATGTGGAGTCCGCCCTCAGAACCCTCGCGCTGGATCTGCGAGTCTCAGTCCGCAGAGCCACCCACAAGGCTCCCGAAGACACAACTAGTCCTTCGCAGGTTGAAGCACCACCTGTTCCCCCCTCGCCTCGTCCTCACCCGACTGCTCCTGATCTGTCTCCTGCTCTGCTCCTCCTGCTGCTGCTGCTGCTGCTGCTGCGGCTGTTGCTCCTCCTCTGCCCCAAAACCGCGTCCAGAAGTTGTGTCCCCCAGTGTAACGCGCTGCGTGGACTACGAAGGCCAACGATCACGCCTAGAAGGGTGGGCCACTTGTGGTGCCACCGTGCCTCAGCGTCTCCTCCGGCACCTCGGCCAAGCATCAGACTTGAGCTGAGCTGGCGATCGAGGAACGCAGGCGCGGGCAACAATCTCGGCTGTAAAGTCCGCCTCACGAGAGACCGCACTTCCCATACCACCTCCGCCCAAATCGGGTCGCGTGTGGTCCACCCCGTCCGCCCGCTTATCAATCTGTTCACAGTTCTGATCTCCCAAAAGGCTTCTAGTCATCCGTTCCTTTTCTCTCCCTCATCCCCCTCCTGCCCCTACGAGGATCCTCAGCATACGCGTCTTCCGCCTCTCTACGACTGATCTGGATTGTGTGGATGGACTGCGCTGTTGTCCCGCTCTCCCCTCGCTCTCCTCAAACCCCGCCCCTTCCTGTCCCTCTCCCCTCCCCCCTCTCTCCCTCCCATCTGCCTATTCTCCCTCTTCCACCCCCTTCACTCCAGCCGGGGCCTTCTTGGAAAGCGTCCAAGAATCAATGTTGTGAGGCCCCCCCCCAGCGAAATCACCGCTGGCCCGATCCGCGCATTCCGCGGCGTCAGACGGCGCGATTGGGGGCCCCATTCCCTCGCACACCGGGGCCAGATGAAATCACAAGAATCCCCCTTCAGTGACGAGTCTGCCTCCCTCATCCTCATCTCTTGCGGATATTATCCCTCCTGAAGCTCATGCTCATGATCCCGCTCATCCTCCTGCCGATTCTCCTGCTCCTTTGCTGACTCTCCTCCTCTCCTGCCATTTCGCCTTCAGCTCCTCCTCGTCATCATGCCACCCTCTTTCTACTCTTCCTCGTCGTGGTCATGTCCTTCGTACTCCCCCTCTTTGGACGCCCGAAATGGGTACGAAAGACATGGGTACAATGCCCAACAGCAAATGTTGTCCCAAACCAACAGCGGCCGCTGTTGGACAGGCGGCCTCCTGTCTCGAATGGACACAGGCCGCGGCGGCGCGGACAGCGAGCCCTGTTCAAAATGAACAGGAACTGTTGTTGAGCATTGTACTCCAGATTTCGTAATAAAGGGAGGGGGGTCTCATCTCGGGGGGGGGGTCTCTTCCAGGCTATCTTGGAGGGCCTGGGGGTCTGGGGACGATGTTTTGGAGGGTTCTCCCACGGGGGAGGTCTGAAATGGCTTGCCTTGGAGGGTCCAGACCCCCTCCCTTTTATTACGAAATCTGGAGTAACCACTCTTTCCGTGCCGATCTCGTTCGTGCAGACCCTCGTCCTCACCCCGCCCCCGAACTGAACTCTGATCCAGCTTCCATGAAGGGGCTCTGGGACACACAAAGAAATACACACACAAACAAACATATTCCCCATAGTTTCCCATATTTTCTGTGCTTTTGTCTCCTCCCCCCACTTCCCAGATTTTCCCATACTTTCCCATTGTTTCCCATTTGTTCTGGGTTTTTGTCTCCCCCCCCCACTTCCCATATTTTCCTTTAGTTTCAAATATTTTCCCATAGTTCCCCATGTTTTCCAATATTTTCCTGGGTATCGACGATTCGTTGTGTCTGTGTGTTTTTTGTCCCCTCCCGATGCCACCCGGCAGCACCGCTTCCCGCCGTCGGCCGACCGAGGGCAAAGGAGAGGGGGCCCTGGGACGCACCAAGAAATACACACAGACAACAGGACTCGATCGGCCTCCTCCTCCTCCTCCTCCTCCTCATCCTCTTCCCCCCCCCCTCCTCCTCCGTCCTCCTCCTCCTCCTCCGTCCTCCGTCCTCCGTCCTCCTCCTCCTCCTACAAAGAAATACGCACCTACAGTCATCGGCCTGACCTAAGGAACGATACATAAGGAACGAAACACCTTTTTTATCCCAAGGAATAACGCATATAAGGAACGATCAATAACGAATAACGCATCAGAAACTGCAAATAACGCATGCAAGCCTGAGGAACGACCGAGCCCCTTTTGAAAAGTACGTGTTCCTTTATTCAAGCCGCTCGCTGTACTCTCCCGTACTTTCTGGGCTCTCGTCTTCCCCCCCCCCCACTTCCCCATCTGTTCCCATCCTTGTTCTGGGGAATCGACGATGAATTCTGCCTCTGTGCTTTTTTCCCTCCCGAATCCAGCATCACTGCTTCCCGTGTACTGGTGTATACGGGACCCTGGTGTATACAATGTTCGTCGTTTCCCCAGGAACACGGGGAAAAAAAGTGTACAGACCACACCACCTCGACGTCGCCCCCGACCCTCAAAAAAGTCCTGGGATTGAAAAGCCGCCCGCCACTGGTAATGTATATGCTCCAGTCTCCGATAACAGGACTCCCCATACCCTCCCATACATTCTGGGCTCTCGTCTTCCCCCCCACTTTCACATATGTTCCCATAGTTGTTCAAATAACAGGACTCCCCATATTCTCCCATACTTTCTGGGCTTTCGTCTTCCCCCCCACTTTCCCATCTGTTCCCATATTGTTCATCGACGATGAATTGCGCCTCTAAAAAAACAGAGCTAGGATCGGGATAAATCGCTCCAGAGCGTTCCGGAGCGCTCTCAGAGTGTTCCGGAACACTCTGGAGCGGCCGCGGCGCCCAATACATCCTCCAAACCCGCCGATTTTCAGAGATTTCGAGTTATCCCAATCCGATGTTGTCCCGATCTTCGCGTCGTTTTAGCTTTCGTGTTCACCCCCACTTTCCCATCTGTTCCCATATTGTTCATCGACGATGATTTGCGCCTCTGTGCCTAATTTCCCTCCCGAGCCCAGCATCACTTTGGCGGCGCGCAGAGGGGGGTGGAGGGAGGGGGGAAGGCTTCTTAGAAGGAGGCTGCTTCTTAGAAGGCGCAAGCCTCACATCTGTAGATGAGGCCCGCGCCTTCTAAGAAGCAGGGGTGCTTCTAAGAAGCCCTCCCGCCTCCCCCCACCCCCCTCTGCGCGTGGCTTTCGTCTTCCCCCCCACTTTCCCATCTGTCCCCATATTGTTCATCGACGATGAATTGTGCCTCTGTGCCTTTTCCCTCCCGAGGAGGAGGAGGAGGAGGAGGAGGCGGAGGAGGAGGCGGAGGCGGAGGCGGAGGAGGAGGAGGAGGAGGAGGAGGAGGAGGTGAGTCCAGCATCACTGCTTCCCGCCGTCGGCCGCCCGCGGGCAACGGAGGCCCACGCGCCCGTGCCCCCACGGACACGAGCATCTCGGCCTCAGCTCGTCCCGCCGGTGCCGCCCGCGCGGAGCGCCTCCGACAGGCCGGCCGACGGGCCACATCGGAAGCGGGGAGGAGGAGGAGGAGGAGGAGGAGGAGGAGGGGGAGGAGGAGGAGGAGGAGGAGGAGGAGGGGGAGGGGGAGGAGGAGGAGGAGGAGGAGGAGGAGGAGGAGGAGGAGGAGGAGGAGGAGGGGAGGAGGGGAGGGGAGGAGGGAGGAGGAGGAGGAGGAGGTCGGGCCTGTCCCTCCACAGGAGGAATTCTTCAAAAATAGGCAATACATAGTCCGGGAACCATTTTTTGAGAATGTTCGGACATCCTTTGAGCATGTCTGGAGTAATTGTTAATCTTGTATCGAAAATTCCCCTGTAGGGGGACACGCCCGACTTAACCCTGCGCCTGCATCGCGTACCTCCTCTTCCCCAGTGACCCCTCCACCGAGGGGGAGCAGGGGGATGACAGAAAGGGAACGAGAGGGGCAGGGAAGAGGCGGGGCAGGAGCGCGGGGGAGGGGGGGGGGAGGAAGAGGGCAGGAGCCGCGGGGAGGGGGCGGCAGGAGAAGGGGGGGGAGGAGAGGGCCCCCCTCCACCCCCTCGTCGAGGGGGGGAGGCGGGCGCGCGAGAGCGAAGGGCGGCACGACGCCCACAGGCGCGGGCGACCCCTCGGGGGGGCAGAGGGGAGCGGAGACCGCACGCGTGTACGGCACAGTGGGGACCCGGCCACAAGAGACCTCCGCAAGAACCCTAACCCTGAGATCCGCGATGTGTTCGGTGAACGTCCACGCGTGTCGATCGAAGATCGTCAAGATCTGATTGGGAGCCCGTCGAAATCCAAGAAACCCAGGGCACCCTGGCAAAATCCAACTGGTGTCTTGGCACGCGCCCCCACTGTACGGCCTTGAAGAGGGTCGGACCGAGGCTCTGGAGATCGGAGCGTCGGCCGTCGGGCCTGTGGCGCTCATAGCATACGGCACCGAAGCCGAGCGCCAAGACATCCAGACTGCGGGGTCGGCCTCGATATGTCTGGGGCTCGATCCCTGACCCTCGGAAGAGGCATGCGCTCAGTGCTTGGCCTTAGGCATGGCCAGGGGACCGCGAGCTGTCAGCTTCCCTTCTCCAGATGGCACAACTCTAGCCCATGGAGACGCACGCCAGCCGCATGTTACACTACTGGCCTCTTGGGGAATCGACCTGGAAGCAGGTAAGGAGGACGAAGAAGAGGACGGAATCAGAGGATGAGGATGAGCTGGAGGTGGTGGAGCTCGAGGATGTGGGACTAGAGCTGGAGGATTTGGAGATTAGGGAAGAGATCGATGAGGAGGAGGAGGAGGAGGAGGAGGAGACCTACCACGATTCGGGACGATTCGGGCGAACTGGCCGCTGTGGAAGGATGAGGAGAAGCACATTCGTATGCCTTCTGAGCAGGACAGGGCACCTCATTTCGGACTCGCCTTCGCGGGAGACCACCAGTGTTTGCGGGACTCCATGCTCGAAGCAGCCACGCCATTACATAAACCCAAATCCAGAACCCTTGCGCGACCCGCCATGATGCAGAAAGAGGCTGTTCAAGACAAGCACGAGGCAGATGCTGCAACTGCACGTGCAAGTCACAAGTCGTCGACGCACCCAGGGGGTGGAGAATGTGGAGGCAAATTAAACATTTGCGCTGTGGTATTGCACTGGCGAAGGTCGAGCGCGCCAGGTCAGAGATGTGCCCCGCGGCGCCGCACGGCCAAATGGATGTGAACGTCCTGTCTCTGCTGAACTTGGGAGGCGATGCTCTGGGCGACAATGCGACCAGCAGGGCCCGCGGGCGGTGGTGGCTCACGGCCAGCAAGCTGGGCGACCGTTGCGAAGTGCAGCTCGATCACGAGGAGCTGTGAGAACGCGGAGGAAGCCCGAGACCATCCGCGCGCGCACGCCGATCGCGTTGAGGTCTGCCATGGCATGGAGAGCACGTCGGTGAACTCGGCGACATGCACAAGGCTCAGTGCGTGCGCAGAGCGGCCCGACTGGGACCCTATCACGGGCCACTGCAAGGGCATACACTGCTCCTGAAGGGGACAACCATGGGCAGCGCCCACGCCAGGGAAGACCTCGCTGGGGCCTGAGATCTTCAGGGGGATGCCGCGGGCAAATGACTACATAATACTCATCATCTTCCACTACAAACATAAGCCTCAATAACTTTGCGAGGGTGGCCATTTTCTGTTGCCCGGGGGTGGGTGGGGGGGAACGGTAACGGCGGCTGCAATGTGCTGGCTTATTCCGCATGATGTTGGACCCTGCCGAAACCACGTGATGCCTGCGAGCAGAACACTCGGCGTGTCCGACACTGGCAGCGCAGTAAGATGCCTGCGAGCGCCAGCAGTAAACCTGTGAACACCACGCTAGCCCGCGAGCGGCGCATGTGACCACCGTGACAGCCTGCCAGCGCCACGGCGCGCATGTGAATGCCACAACGAGCCTGCGAATGCCACGCGCACGCACACCAGTATGCCGGACCCCGCGCCACGAGATGTCTGTGAGCATAGGAAGAACACAACTTGTCGTTAACCGCATGCCGTTGATAATGATTCCCTGGTGATAATGCAATTCGGGGTCCAGGGTGGATGATAACCTTTATCCTGGAGATATCGATGGTAAAATTGATAGTCGCGAATTCGACGAATCTCCAAAACACTATGCGTTTCGCCTGAGACATCCTCACACACATGATAATAAGGATTACTCATGTGCTATGTCTGAAATGAAGGTCAGAGCTACGACAGGAATTTTGCAGGGGATAATAAAGTTCGACCTCCCCGCCTGATGTGGCAATTGAACCACACCCAATCCCGTGGATAAACAGATACAAGGCCTACGGGGGGATGCTTTATTATCCGCGGGTTCCGGTTAGTGGCCATAACGGGCGGAACGGGGGGTAAGGGGAGGCATAACGCCCTCTCCGCCCCCCTCGTGGTGTCCTCGGCTTAGGTTCGTGAATTGCGACTACAGGCGGTCCACGACCACTTCGGGCCAAAAAACCCAAACCAGAAAACACCAGGAAATCCTGAAACCAAAACCTGGGGAGGTCGACATCCTGAAAAAAACTCAAACACCGAACCTGCGAAAAACGCAAACCCACAAAAACATAGAAAAAACCTGAAGCTGAAACCTGGGAACAAAAACTAAAACCAAACAAACACTCCAGAAAATCTCTAAGCCGAAACCTGGGGAAACAACTCTTGAACGACTATGGAACAACTCTGGACAAACTCTAACAACAACTCTTAAACAACTCTACAACAACTCTAAAACAACTCTGGACAAAAAACTCTAAACGACAAACAACTCTAAAAACAACTCTGGAACAACTCCCCACAAACTCTAAACGCTTGAAAATTCTAAAACACTATATAAAAACCCTGGGAAACTCTAAAACAACTCTGGAACAACTAAAAAACACTTTAATAACAAATAAAACAAATTCCGGGTTGAGTTTTTTGTCTGGGTTTCAGCTTCAAGTTGTTTCTAAGTATTTTGTGGGTTTGATTTTTTCCCAGGTTTCGGCTTCAAGATTTTCTGTAGCTTCTTCAGTGTTTGAGTTTTCCCCAGGTTTTGTGTTTAAGATTTTCTCAGGTTGTCTTGGATTTTGAATTTCCCACTCAAGATTATTTAACATGTTTTTGGAGTTTGAGTTTCCGGCCGAAGATGTTTTGAAGATTTCGGCAGGTTTTCCTATGAACCACCTGTAGTCAATTCACGAACCGAATCCTCGGCACCACCGAAACGCTCGCGCGCACCTCAGCCTTGTAGCAAGGTTCGGTCGTCACGCTTGTGCGCCCTACTACATGCCCACGATCACCACGCGTGACTGATACCAACAGACCGCGAGGAGAGGGAAGACAGACCCTGTCAGAACCACAACGACCTTGTGAACAGCACAATTCACGAAACAGTATGCCGGACCCGGCCAACACCACCACAACACGCCAGCACGCGAGCAACGCAACATACGACAAAATGACCGCAGAAGCACGCGAGTGCCACGACGGTACCGCAGCTACGCGCAAGACGGTGATGGACGCTGTGGTTACCACAATCAGCATGCCAGCGCCGCAAACGCGGCTGCGAGTGCAACGCTCTGCTCGTCAACAGCTCAACTCGTGTGCGACCCGCCTGCGAGCACCACAGAGTGTTCCTGCGCGAGACCACCAGATTGTGGAGAACGTCAGGGCCAGTGAGGACCAAAACAAGATGTACAGTCGGGGCGTTGACCTAAGGAACCCTAAATAAGGAACGAGGCCCCTTTTTTCCAGATGTCCCATCGAAAACATAAGGAAAACCTGAGGCAAGCTGCGAAACTATCAAGAAACGCGGAGCCCCTCCCCAACGAGAAGGGTTCCTTCTTCAGGGCCCCGACTGTAGCCTTCGAGAGCAACACACGACTGCGCGACAGCATGGCGGACCCTCCGAAGGCCACAACAGTATGCGAAAGAGGAGGAGAGGAGGAAGAGGGGGAGGCCGAGGAAGCGGGGAAGATGAGTAGGAAGACGAGGACGAGGAGGAGGACGACAGCGACGAAGATAATGAGGAGCAGGAGGACGAAGAGTTCGAGACGACGAGGACGACGACGACGACGACGACGACGACGACGACGATGGGGACGAAACCACGAAAACGACGACGACGAAGGCCACAACGAGGACGAGGACGAGGACGAGGACGACAATGCATGAGGAGGGCGGGGGGAAGTAGAACGAGCAAGGGGAGCAAGACAAGTAGGATGGTGAGAAGGGGGGAGGGGGCGGAGGAAGAGCAGGAATATGATCATGGGGCGGACGAGACGGGGACGAGGGGACCAGGAGTGGGACGACGACGACGACGACGACGACGACGACGACGACGACGACGACGACGGCGGCGTCGGCATCCTTGAAGCTGTCGCATGCCAGACACCCCAGGATGGGAGGAATGGCACAGAGGCCTCTCGGAAATCACGAATGACAACTTTTGCAACAGGAGTCTATGTCGAGTGCCGCAGGCCACATGTTCCGAATTTCTGGAACCACAAGACACGCGGCGGCGGCGAATCCCGCCGGATCAGACTCCCGCCACAGCTTGTGCCGGCGCCGACGACGTGGAGGAGCACCGCAACAAAAGCCTGTGAGCACTACAGCGTGCGTGTGAGCACCACACTGTGCTTGCGACCGCCAGGCGGCCAGGGAAGGCAGACCCTGCCAACACCATAACAGTGCGCGAGCGCCACATGTGAACGCAACACGCCGGACCCTGCAAGTGCCACAATAGCCTACGAGCGCCGCAACCTGTCCACCAGCATGGGCAACAAGTCCTTGAAAACCACTGCAGCCTGCGAGCCACACAACAGCTGGCGAGCACCACTGTTGCCTCCGAGCAACACAGTTGCCTCCGAGCACAGCGCGGGCGCTACGACGGTGCGCTGCGACAGTGCCAGGGGCGCACTGCAGCGGTGCAGGGGTGTTTCGCGTGAGTGGGGGGGCCAGGGGGCGTCACGTGCTTCGGGGGTGGGGGGTGGGGGGCGTGCCGCACGTTATGGCCCAGGCCTGCCTGTTCAAGGGCCTGTTCAAGATAACGCACACAGCAGACTTGCGATGCTGCAGGCGATCCTACGAAGAACGTGTGGGAGATGTGGGGACTGAGTCGAGCAGATAAAGAAAGCAACAATGTCCGAGTACGACCAGGGAGAGCCCGAAATAAGTTCCCATATACAAGCAATGGCGCTGCATGAGGACCCAGCATGATATCGCATGTGATTTGTGAGGTGTCAGCACCACCACACCCTGCAAACACCACAACCTATGCCTGTGAACAGCTTTCGGGCGTTTCCATCACCGGGCGGAGTAACGTGGGTTACGACCGGAAGGAGAACAACGAAAAGCAGCCACCACCAGAGCTCAGGCCAGACACATCGACGCCATGAGCAAGGGCGTTCCAACCGACGGGGTTCCGAAGAGGCCGGCGGAGGTGTCGACGATAGCGCATGCGCTGGAACCCCCTGCAAAGGGAGTCCCAGGATGGAAAGCTTGAGCCGCCCCTTCCCTTCGAGCGTTCATCCCCATGGAAAACCGCCACAAGTTTGGCTCGTTCGAGCCGCCCAGCACCCCTTGAGGGACGGCATTGCCTTCGATACAGGGGTGCCCTTGGCAGCCTCAAAGGAAATCTGACGGCGGCGCCCATGTACATCCTGTATGCAATGTGACTTACGGCCGATGTTCATACTTAGACTTGGCTTACCGCGCCGTAGAAGAAAACCCCTGATTACGCCACGTCGAATCAACGCTGTGCGAAGTCACGATCGCGTTTTGTAAGCTCGGCAAGCGCGCGATGACTTGCCGCAAAGAAAAGTATTCAACTAAGACGCGAGGTAAAGCACAAGCGGCAAGCACAGCACCATGATCCATTAGTCACCCTGATGCCGCTACGCAGATAAGGCAAGAACGATTACGACTGACCACACCAGGGTACGCACAAAAGACACACCTCGAAGGCTTGGGACACATGTGGAGAACTGGCGCGTTAAATAGCTGCTGCACCCGATTGTGCTGTTCGGTCTATGTTAATAGCTCCTGCGCGATCCAGATCGTCGGGCTACCAACACAGGCCAAGTGCCTAGTCTCAAGGATGCTGGGCGCGGACGCCATCGTCGACGGACATCCGATCACGCTCGCGATAGTGGCGGGGACTTGGGACCAGCCCCGCAGTGAAACTAGTGGGTCTGCGCAAGCCATGTAAAGAGGCCATAACCACACATCTGGAGCCGAAGACTGCAGAATGCGATGAGGCATTCTCAATACACAGGGGTGCTATCCAGGGCGATCTGGAGGGGGGCCGACGCTGTGAGTCCCCTTGGGTGCAGTGGGCGCGCCTGCCTGCAAGTTCGACGACAAGGCCCTGACTATCCTGCGCCAACGTGCACGACGTGAGTTCAACAGCGTGCGGGCGAGGAGGACCCCTGCAAATCTTGGAGCGCATGGGTAGAGTGGAGCGATGCCTCGAGCTCATCAGGGGTGGACCCGTCCTCGCGTAATCCGCCCTTGTTGAAATAGGTCTCCACCATCTTACATGTACACCCGGCAGACGCGGACAGGAATGAGAGGCTTTCATTTTCGTTTCGGAGATGCCTCAACCAGGACAGCGGATGGAATTGCTGGCGAGACGGACATGGCGTATCCAGTATCCATTGGACCACCAGGCCAAGGGGGGGGGGCGTATCGAGCCCTATCTGAGGAACTCTGAAAGCTAACAAACCAATATAACCAATCCTATTTCGCGGAAATTCTCGCGGCTCCTTCCAACCAGCTTCTACCTAGTGAGAGGGAGGGCGGGGGATGACGCGGAGGAGCGGAGTGGGGCGGAGCAGCAGCAGCAGGGAGAAGAGGAGGGAGGAGGGAGGTGAAAGAGGATGAAGAGAGTAGAACGAACAGGACGGGGAGTACGTGGAAAAGGAGAAAGGATAACACTGAGTACGCGTAACGAAGAGGGGGGGGGGATGAGGGGAGGGTATCCCCATGATCTCTTTCGGTCCACCACGCCTCCGCACCGGGCGCCGCCCCGGGCGCCCAGGCATCCGCCGGGCCAGCGCAGGCAAGCTCGGCCTCCGCGGCCTCGGGCGAAGTCTACGGCCCGTCCGTCGCCGAGATCCTCCTTGCCCCCCGCCCCCCTCCTCCGCGCCCCCCTCCTCCCCTTCCTCCTGTGCGCCTGCTCGTGCCCCCCGCTCTTGGTGCTGCGCCTCCTGACCCTGCTTCTGCTGGCGCACAGGCACTCGTGAGTCCCTGAACGCTCTAAGAGAAAGAAGAGAAGCAAGAGAAAGAAGACAGACAGAGAGAGAGAGAGAGAAGACGGGCGAACAGGGCTGCAACAGCAACAGCAGACCCAGCTGCTGCTCCTCCTCGAACCACTCGACCGCGGCGCGGAGAACGGCGAGGCCGCCCTTCTGCGCCCACGGGCAGGCCGCCGCACATCCACTGGCCGCTTTTGAGCGCGGACCCGGCACGTGCAGCTCGCACACATCACCACAAGATAAGTGACAGACCTAGGCAACTGCGACACTGATGGCCTCTCTTTTTTTCCGGCGAGCGGCCCTCGTATACAAAGAAAACGATTCCTGTCCGCTGCAACGCCTGCCCCGCAAGAATCAGGTGCGGTAGTGAGATCACACACCAGGGGCAAACATTGTGTGAACGCCCCGGCGCGGGTAACGATGCGATACGATGGCCTCTTCTTTGACCTGGACTGGCCATTCCTGAGCTTTCACCCAGCCTCCAACATTGCGGCAACATTCTGCTCCTTGCGTCTCCATGCGAGCGTGCGCCCTGGGAATGCAACCTGGAGGTCCTAGACATCCCTGTGCGCTCCCTTCTGCAGGGCCCCTGCGGTACGATGCGTCGCGAGAACGTTCTATTGAACTCACCTAGTCGCGACGGGGACCTGTCTGCTGTGATGCAAAGCCCAGGGCTGATCTCCTGAACTGGGACTCAAACATTGGGCATACTGGGCAGCGGCGGGCAGCACTCCGGGCCTCGCCGGGCATCGAGGTCGGGAGCAGGGCGGCAGTCGCCTAGCGCATGATCAGTTTCGGCTGGGGCAACCCCAACGCCCAGCCGCACCTCCACCTGCCTCGGCTGCGCAAGGCACTCGGAGCTAAAGGCTCCTACTTGGCTGGACCTTCACGTCGCCAAAGTCGCGGATCTTGGTGACCAGAGCCTCGCTTCCCCATCTCATGACGACCACGCACCACGGGCCCAATTGCCACTGCCACCTGGGCATCCCCGGCTTCCGTAGGCGTGTCTCGCTGAGCCGAGCCTGCCCCGAGAGGGGCGACCCATACACTGAGGGAGGAGGGGACGGTTCGCTTCTGCGAAGCAGACCTCCCGCGGGCAGGCCTGCCTCACTCTTGTGGTAGATGGCCCCTGATCGCCTCGGCTTCAGCCTGAGCCTCAGTGCCGATAAGCGTGGCTACAAAGTCCTCGACCGAAAAGATGAGGTGGTCTATCTCTGGAGGCATGAGCTCGAACCAGCGCGACGTCCGCGAGTGGCAAGCCCGACTTGTATTCTGGATGATTTCGATCCTTCAGGAACAGCAATCGAGCGTCTGCCTGATTCCCCCACTCACAGTCCATCAAGTCAGCGACCCAAGAGAGAATGCAAAACTCGCGAGGACACTATGGGTTGCACCGGCTTGAGTATGTGGAGATAAACCCAAACTGACATGAACGCGGGCACGACGTTGAGGCCCTCCCCATCGTGTCAGACAACTCGACCTAGGGCTCCCAACTTCGCGCTTCGCGCTGCGCGAAGCGCGAAGCGCGAATAACTTCGCGCTCTCGCGCCGCCCTCCCAGAGGGAGAATAGGAGGACGAGGAGGAGGAGGAGAAGGAACGAGGACCGCGAAGCGCGAAGCGCGAATAACTTCGCGCCCTCGAGGGAGCCCTTGTCGACATGCGCAAGTCTAGCACTGCCAAGGCGGTCATCTCGCACTCTGCAAGCCTGCTAGGGCGGTGCCGCGCGACCTTCTCAGAGGCCACTCGCTGGACCGCCAGTTGCTCCCCACAGCACGAAGGACGGAGTCCGTCAACATCCGACTCGGCATCCTTCCCTCGACCGAGATACCTGATCAAAACCTCGTAGCACCGCCTAGCCCAGTCACGAGAGCCCGAAACCGGAGGCACGGTCCGAACGGCGATGCGCCCCTGCAGAGGCTCGCAGCGTCGCGTTTTCTTAAAACGCGGCCCACCGTCACGCGCGACCCTCAGGGGCATGCCCCATCGAACCTCTGCTCAAGCTCGCCCAGCCATGATGCCTGATGCTCGGCTCTGTGCTCAGCCCGCGTCTTCCGCGCATCGCCGCCTCAGGCATCGAGCTCGCGTTGGAGCGCCTAGAACGCTGCACTGCCGCTGTCAGCGCACACGTGCGGCCCCGTGACCGACCTCCTCTCCCGACCTGCTGGCGGGGGCCCCTGCGCTGGACCTCACGATCGGCCCATCGCCGACCACGGATGAGACGTCGGCGGGGAGCTCGAGCTGCTGCGGGCTGGTCGTCCCCAGGTCGCAGTGGCTTGGCGCAGGCCGTCCGCCCACTGATCTTTTCTGACATGCGGGCGTGGATGAGATCCATGTCTCTCACCCACTACACGCCGCGCGCCACTCCGTGGGTACTCCCGGGCACAGATTTGTTTCTTCTTTTTTATATGAAATAAAGTAAGCGCTACCCCTCCTCCACCTGGTAGCACTCGTCACCAAACGCGCAGTGCTCCATCGCTTAGCCTGCCCCGCGCCGCCGCTGGGCGAAACCATCGCGCACGCCGCGCCAGGCCCCCATGATCGTCGTCCCCCCGGTCGGGGAAGACCCCGTGCTCCAAGACGTCCCCGACCCTGACGCCCGCCCTGGCTCGCGCGCCGCGCGTCGCAGCGACGCTGGGCAGCACCGCCGCCCGCGCGGGGGCGCCCGAGCCAGGCCTTGCTCCACAGGGCCCGCCCCGAGCCCGCTCGCGGCGCAGCCTCGGGTGCCGAGGACCCGCGAGCCTTCCTGGGCCCCTCCTCCCCACCCCGAGCGCACACCTCCTCCTCCTCCTCCTCCTCCTCCTCCACCTCCTCCTCCTCCTCCTCCTCCTCCTCCTCCTCCTCCTCCTCCTCCTCCTCCTCCTCCCGCCGGGAGAGGCGCCGGCAGGAGGACGGCTCAACCGCCAACCAACAGCCTACATGTGGCGGCAGGCGGTGGCACCACCCGACGTGCCCCCACCTGCGGGCGCACGCAGAGCACAGCGCCCACGTCCATCCCGTGCTGAGCCCGGCTCGGGGAGGAAGAAGAGGAGGCAGATGAGGAGACACGTGGGAGGGCGAGGACGAGGACCACGAGGAGGGAAGAACACGCAGGGAGGATGAAGTACAGAGGGCGCAGCCGCCTTGGCCCCGAACGACATCATCTCCTTGGTTGCGAAAGTCCCGCAGCTGGGCTCCATGAGATTCTCCTTGCCAGCCGAGGCCAGCGGCATCTCCTCGCCGTCCCCGTCGCAGGCCTCGCCTCCTCCCGCTCCTCCTCCCGCGCATCCTGCTCATCCTGCCCGGAGGTCTCAGGAGGTCTCCAGGGATCTCCGGATGCCCGTGGAGGTCCCCGGAGGCCCCCGGGGGTCTCCAATGTTCAAAGCGTCCAGCAACTTCGACCCTCGAACCTCGATCGTGATTACCTTGTGTTCCCCCTCTTCCTCACGCCCTCCATCCATCCACTCGCCAAGGATTCCCCGTCTCCGTCGCTAGCCTCTGCAGCAGGGAACATGCAGTACTTCAGCCACAGGCAGAGCCCGCTGGAAAGGCACGAGGCCACGTTTGGGCCAGTGATCAGCGGATCCTCCAGCATCCAGCCGCAGATGCACCAGAAGATGGCAGAGCAGAAGTTCGCGATTACGAGCGGGCCTGGGATGTGGCTGCTGTCCTTCGCGGCGATGACTGACGGGACGGAGACAAGCATGGACAGCGCACCGATGAAGCTGCAGACCGACGCAACCATGCCACTCAAGAATAGAGCGCGGACCGGCGCCAGAGAGACCATCCCGCAGACCTGCAAAAACACCAAACCAGCAATTGCGAGAAAGTACACGTGAAGAGTGTTGAGCGCACGCTCGTTTCGACAATTGCAATAGAAGGTCATGGTGTAGTAGGTGCCGAGCAGTGCACCGAGGCTGTTCGAGTGGACCAGGACGAGGAAGCCGCTGCGGCCAGTAAGAAGCCACGCAAACGTGCCGTAGAAGCACCACTGCCACCCGCCGAAGGCGATGGACACGTAAGGCGCAGCGTCGACCTCCCCAGTGCAACCGTACTTCGCCCAGCGCTTGACCTGAGGGTAAGGGCTGACCTGGGGAATCCGACAATTACTACCCTCACGCCTAAGCTGGTCGGACACGTGCTGGACCCCGGATGAGCGTCTAGACGGCCCTCCACGACCTGGGGGGAAATGTGCAAAGACCCTCCTGGCATTGCCTGTCCCTGCGGAGGCCCTGGATCAGCGTCTGAGTCCTCCTCACCTCACGGATTGGTGTCGGCAACCTCCTGGTCTGGCCTGGGCTCTGAGCTCTCCTGGCCTTGCAGAGGAGGACGAAGAAGCCAGTCCTGGACCGGACATCGGCCTGATCACCGTCGGCGTCGGGTGTGTAGTTCGAGTCCCAGATGGCCTGCGTCATGATGTTGCCCACCATGCAGAGGACCTTCACGATCGAGGCGGCGGTTACAAGCTGCCACATGTGGTACGTCTGCGGGTAGTTCGCCGCCAGCCAGCTCCTCTCGCTGGCCTGATCGCCACCTCGGGGAGCCAGAAGCCCATGCTGCCCGCTTGCGCTTGCCGCCACCCCCCGCTGGCCCGCCAGTGCGAGGCTGGGAGAGTCGAAGAGGGGAAGTGCTGGGCGAAGGGCCAGCACTGCGGCGGAGGTGTGTCCCAGGATACCCTACAAGGGAACAACTCTTTACACCGACTTCTATTTTAAGCGCAAGCTTACTTGCTAGATTCGAGCTCGTATGTATGCGTGCAGGTGTAAATCTACACTAGCTTCTCGAAAACCGTTCGTACCTACCAATGTTGTCCACAATGATTGGCATCACCTCCGGAAGGATATCCTCTCCTAACCCACCAAACTGCGGCGATATTAACCGTGCAGGCCGCTACCTGCATCTGCTTTTGCTGAGTGACATGCTCCAGGAGCGGGTTGCTGCATAATGTGGCTGGCGCCGCGGCGACAGGGCAACTCCGCAGGACAGATGTTTCAAACACGTAGACAAGCATGCGATTCGCAGGCAGCATCACTGGTGGACCTCCGGAATCGCAAGACGTGCGACGCTTCCAAATGTGAGAGGTGCGAGCATAACATGTGTGACGAATTCACGCATGAGGGCACAATGGTCAGAACTTGTCCAGACGGCCCGTATCCGAGGCTCAACACCTCGCAACATCAGCGACATGTGGTACCCCCTAGGTCCCTGGTTTTCAGACCCAGCTGGTAGGGCATCGCTTGTCAGGTGGGCATGCGACACAAACAACAGCAACCACAATCGCAGTCGTTTTCGAACTGATCAGTCTCATCTGGCCGCCCGCCGCTCAACATGCATACCCCGAGCCTTTGGCTCCTGCCTCTTCGTCCGTATCCCCCCCCTGTCGGGCGTTGGCAGAACTGGGTTTAGTGGAGCCTGGTTTAGCGATATGTACCGGGAAACGACCCCCCCGCCCCGTTCCGCTAACCGGAACTGCCGTCACCCGAAACACACCAGCTACGGCAAACCTGGTTCAGTGAAGCTGGCCAGTTGAGGGGCCCCAGGGCCCTGCCACTAACCGGGGCCCCTTACCCGGGGTCCTGGCTATACCCGCCAGGAGGAGGAGGAGGAGGAGGAGGAGGAGGATGAGGCGGAGGAGGAGGAGGAGGAGGAGGGGGAGGAGGAGGAGGAAGACTCCACGCCTGTGTCACGCCAGCTGTTGGGCAGGCCCTGACAAGGCAACGAGGTGGGCGGGCGGCCCCGTCTGGGCCGGGCGGGCGGAGCTCACTCGCGCCTGTCGCGCGGGCGGACCACAGCGTGCGGGGCTGGGCAGGCGGGAGGTTGAAGCGGGCGGGCAGACCCTGACAGGCGGGGCGGGCTGGACCCCAACTAGACGAGCGCGTTCCACCACTCGCACAGGAACTGCTCGCAAATGGCCTCGATCCTCGATCCGCCGCGGGGCATCGACGACGTATGTGTTTTCCTGACGTTTGCGAGTAGGCACTTTGCGAGTAGTGGAACGCGCTCGGTGACGAACGGCCGGGTCTGGCGGACAGGCCCTGACGGGCCCCCTTCCCCTCTCTTTCCAGACCGCCTCTTCCCTCCAGACCTCCGCATCCTCTGCATCCTCCTTCCAGCGCCACTGGCTCAAGCTCTGCCGGTGCCGACACCTGCTGCTGCCAGCGCTGGAGGCGCGGCTTGTGGCCGGGATGCCAGCGCCGGCGTGCCGACTGGGGCTGCAGGCGGGGCTCCCGCGGCGCCAGGCGCCGCCGCCAGCCGCCCCGTCGCAGCGGCGGCGAGTGGAGCGGCGGCGGCTGGCGGCGGCGGCCCCTGGGCGGCAGGCGCCGCCAAGGCTGCCGGCCCCGCGCGGCCCGGGGCGGGCGCCACGGCAGCGGCGGCGCTGGCTGGCGCCGCCTCGGCCCCTCGCCCCCGGTGCCCTGACCCGCTGCCCCCTCCTGGAGATGCCAGCAGCGAGATCCTCCTTCTCTGTAAGACTTCCCATGGTCTGTCTCGGCCTGTAGCCGACAAGAGACCCAGCGGGCCAGAGGCGTGCTAAGATCTCCAGTAACTGGTAAACAATATCTCTAGTTCGCGCGCGCGTAGCGCATCGCCGGGGGGGTCTCGGGGTGGGTCGCGGGGTGGGTCGCGGGTGGGTCGCGGGTGGGGTCGCGGGGTGGGTCGCGGGTGGGTCGCGGGTGGGTCGCTGGTGGGTCGCGGGTGGGTCGCCAAGGGGGTCTCGGGGTGGGTCGCGGGCGGGTCGCGGGGTGGGTCGCGGGAGGGTCGCAGGTGGGTCGCCGGGGGGATCTCGGGGTGGGTCGCGGGTGGGTCGCTGGGTGGGTCGCGGGTGGGTCGCGGGTGGGTCGCGGGTGGGTCGCGGGTGGGGTCGCGGGGTGGGTCATGGGTGGGTCGCGGGGCGGGTCGCGGGTGGGACGACGACAACAACAACAAGAATCCGCATCGCGGAATTCCACTTCAGCCACGCACCCAGGAACAGTGAATGACCGTTCGGTTCAGCCCCCTCACTCTGACCCCCCAAAAAACCCAAAATGGTCAACAAATAATGAACAAATAGTCTCCAGACTTTTTTTACTGTTGTTGGATATTCCTCCTGTAGAGGGACGGACCCGGCTTAAGACTAGGACGTGGATAGCGTGTCGCGCCGCAGCGCGGTGGGCCAGAACCGGCGGAGCGACACGCTATCAAAAAAAACCCTACCGTATGTGCAACTCAGCGCCTGTGTGCACAATCGTGATTACGCGCACCACAAGTGAACAGCAGCATCTGTGTGCGCAGAAAGGCCTGCGCGCACGTGCGCACCACTGCGACTGTGTACATCACAAGGCCTGTGTGAACAACAATGCCTGTGCACACATCACTGATTATGTACACCACCGTGTCTGTGTGCACCACCGATGCTGCTGCACCAACATGTGTGGACTACTGTGCCGATGTGCACCGCAATTGCCAATTGCCGTGAGAACCGCAGCGCTTGCGTACACCACGATACCTATCTACACCATATCGCTTGCGCACGCCACACATCATGGTGCAGCAGCAGGTGTGCACCACAACGCACCAATGCCTTTGTGCACCACTGCCTGTGTAGACACCGCCTGGGGGCCTCCAAAAGCCTCCAAAAGCATCCGAACGACTTCGGTCGTCGTCGTCGTCGTTCGTCGTCGTCGTCGTCCCAAGCCAATTTCAGCCAAGACTTTGCCGGGCCCGTCTCCCCAAACCCCGCGGACGCAAATCGAGACGTTACATCGAGACTACTCTCGCAAAACTGCTGTCGTTCTTGCAAGGTCTGTCTTCCTTTTCATCGGTCCGGCGGTCGCACTCATGCGTGGGGCTCGCGGTCTTGGCGTGGCGCGCACAGGCGCCGCGTCCGCTACTCGATCCTATTCTCAATAGTCCCCTACGCCTAGTTGTGCACAGGGCATCCCTACAGACATGATATGACATTAGAGCTGTCCTCAACTATCCCTCAACATTCCCAAACTCTGTGTGGGCAATCCGTTATGTCACCGGCCCCCTCTCCCCCCAACGTGCCACAGGCACCTGGTGAAATTCCCGAATCCCGAAGGTTCTTACATTTGCGAATATTATCACGGGTTCGGCTCCCCGAATTGTCAGGACTCAGGGGGCGAACTATAGAGAACCAAATGCAATTGTCAGAACGCTTCGCCTCAGAAGGTGCACAGGGCAAGGTGCCCAGGACATGCCCGCCCAGGATGACCCAATGCCACCCTCAGGGGCAGTTCAGAGCCTCAAGAAGCGCCCCGCCTTTCACGTAACCCCCAAAGGCCTCTGGCACACGACCCTGGCAAGGAATGAGCGCAAAGGCGACTATATCGTTAGACAGAACGCGAACTGTATGATTAGTTCGCTGGTTGAATACCAAACACATTGTACACTCGTTCCCCAAACCGTGCTCGTGCGTAGGAGCTCTTACTGCTGGTCGAAGGAACTGGACTCGTCTGGCAGTCTGGCGGCGGTGCCGTCGCCGTCGCCGCCCCGTCGCCCGTCGTCTGGGCCCGTCTCGCGGTCTGGCGCCTACGTTGTCGCTGTCGCCGCCCCGTCGTTGCCTCGCTGCCGCCAGTCGTTGCCTCCAAATCCCTTAATAATCGACCCCCCCTAAAAAACCGGACCCCCCTCCAAATGCGACCTAATATTCCGGACCCCCCTCTTCGACGGGGCGCCTTGATAAACCGGACCCCCTAAGCTCCAATCCAAAGAAAGCGCCCTAATAAACCAGACCCCCCAGTTTTCAAAAAGGCGCCTTAAAAAACCGGACCCAGGGGACGATTAATATGGGATTTGGAATAAACAACCATTCGGATCTACACCCCCCCCTTCTGAGGGTGTGCAGTTTCCATACGACTCTGCCCCATCGTTCGTTCTGAATACGAGCTCTCCCCACCAAACTGGGTTCCCCCCTCTCATATTCGTCGAATGATAGAATGCGCGCGCTCGTTTATCAAAACACACAAATTTGCAAACATCCTGCGCGAAATAACGGGACGAAGTGCACACGCGCGCGCGTCGTCGCGCGCGCATGCCGGAATTCTTCAAACACCATCGGATTCGTCAGGAAACGCATGGTTTTGCGACAAACAGTTCGGAACTGTCTGCGCGCTCTTGCGAAACCATGAGAGAACCATGTTTGTTGTTATGCTTCTTGTTTAAAGCTCTTCTTTCTATAAAAAAACATGTTCATCAAATCCGACCAAGCGGTTTTTTCGCGCGCGTGTGTCGCAACATTTCGAACGCCCTTGAGCGCGCGCTGGGTAAACACGATCCCTGTCAAATCCGCCGACCCCCGCTTACCGTGGATGAACAGGCGTGTGATAAATTTAGCCGTCGCTCCCCCCCCCCAGGGTCCAAAATCGCGTTTGAGGGTGGGGGGTTCCACGCGCTCCCCAACGCACCCCTAGGGTCTGCAAAACCTGCCAATCCACCCCCGTGTGGCCGGCCAATCTCCTAGAATGCTGTCTAAAATGCCTCCAGAAGAGCTCCAATACGCCGGGGAAACATCAAAGTCACGCAAGATAGTCTCAAGACGGCCGAAGATGCCGAAAGAAATCCCGAAAGGACCCCCGAAAGGGCCTCAAGAGGCAAAACACATTCATGTTCCACTGGTTGTTGCATGATTATTTTGTTCTCGGCCCTCGGACGTCTGCACGCTCAAAACCGGGTCCCCCCCCCCCTAAACCGGCGCAAACTGGCCCAACAGACCCCCCAAACGACACGGAAACGGCCAACGAGGGCCACAGGACTGCCCGAGAAGCCCCCAAGATGGAAAAACAAAGCGGAATGTGGCCTCAAGACGGGCCCAAGAAAGGCCCACGAGGGGGGACCAGCACAGATCCTAGGAGCCCTCTCTCAGAAGATGGCCACCAAGACGCCCGACTGGCCCCACGAGGCCCCCAAACAGCCCCCCCCGGGGTGCCTCGACAAAATTCCAAGAAACCGCCACCAGGGCCGCCAACAGGCCCCAAAGATGCCTCCCCAAGCTCCAGGAAGCTTCACAAAGTCGCAAATGAGAGCCCCCAGCGGCCCCCGAGAGTCCCCCAAGACACCCCCCCGCTGCGTGAAGAGAGCCTCAAACAGAACCCGGGCAACATCACAAACCGCCCCGTTGTCCTCGATATCATCCTCGTGTTCCTCCTTCCTCTCACCGCTGCCGCTATCCCATGTCATCCTCTCCCTCCATCGCGTTCACTATCCAAATTTTACGAGGAGGTTATATCAACAATGCGCGGTGTCACTCCAGGCGCATGTCGCTTCATGCGCGACGCGCAACACAATTCAGTGTTCCGTCCTGGGAGGCGCGGAGTAGCATCAGCCGGGCGGCCACCCCGCTAAAGCACTTCTGCACACTTGAAAGCATCCCATGCGCGCGGCGGCGTCCAAGACGAGGCCTCAATACGCCCACCGAACCGCCCACAAGGCCTCACTTCGTCTGATGGTCGGCGGATTTGCGTCAGCTTTTTGATTGAAGCAATGCGGGCTATTCGCGCCCGTCGGCCGCGCGCGCACGTCGAATTCTTTCCACAACCTTCGCCACCGACGCGTGGACACCATCATCGTCCTCGGCGTGATCAGCATCGGCGCCGTCAATGACCTTGCCGTCGTCATCGTCATCGCCGTCACCAGAATCGCTAACATCATCATCGCAGCTGCCGTTGTCGAATTGTCGACGTCGCCATGATGCCGCGCCCGCCCGAGTCACCGACTCGCACTGAAACGCCCGCGCGCCAGCGCGGCCTGCGAGACGTGCTCATAAGTGCCCCGGGCCTGCGCCATCGCGGCCGCGTCGCTCGCGCCTAAATAGCTGCCCGCTCTGCGCGCGAGGCTGCGCGCGCTAGCGCGGCCGCAGCGATGTGCCAACCAGCTCCAAGCAGTCAGGGCAATCACCGCCAGCGGGGTTTTCAGAGATGTGTGGGATGGGTGGGTGGGATGATCTCGCGAGCAGTGGAGCTGACAACTTCAAGTTCAGCAGGGTGAATTGCACCACAGAGATAGCACCACATACATTGTACATCATATATTACACCATATACATTGAACAACATGTATTGCACCACCTAATTATGTTGCACGATAGACATCGCTACACATATAGCGCACAGCACACATAGATTACACCACGTAGATTTCTCCCCATGTGATGATTCACTCGGAACGAACAACATAAAGCATCGAATGCACCACATGCTTGGCTCGAAACACAACGTGTGTGCCCCACCTTGGCTAACACTCTGTATTTGGGAATGTGTGCAAGATGATCGCGGATGTAGTGTTTATACGCATCTAACTCCAAACGCTCTAGTAGTTGATAAGGCAAGTATGCGCAAACTGTGGTTAGTTAGACCAGCATGACACGTGTATTGCAAAATGGAGCAGGTATCGAACCCCGTTGACTGGTGCATATGCGCATGGAGAGGGAGGTAGAAAAACATGTGTTTTCCAGGTTGTCCAGATCTCCCCAGAGACTCCCCTGGTGAAAAACTTTGTGTTTCCCAGATTTTCCAGATCTCCCCATGGACTCACCTACTGAAAAACCATTTGTTTTCCAGACGTTCCAGATGTTTCAAATCTTCCCAGAGACTCCCCTGGTGAAAAACCTTGTGTCTTGCAGATTTTCCAAGTATTCCAAATCTCACCAGAGACTACCCTGGTGAACATCCTTGTGTTTTCCCGATTTTCCAAATATTCCAAATCTCCCCAGAGACTAATTACCCTGGTGAAAAACCATGTGTTTTCCAAATTTTCCAGATCTCCCCGGAGACTACCCTGGTGAAAAACCCTGAAGCCCAGGGCAGTCTCTGGAAATATCTGGAAAATCTGGAAAATCTGGAAACACATGGTTTTTCACCAGGGTAGTCTCTGGGGAGATCTGGAATGTCTGGAAAATCTGGAAAAACACAGGCGGACAAGAAGAAGAGGGCTGGAGAACGCCCGAGGAAGAGGGGGCGATGAGAAGGTGGCTGCAGGAGGGGCGAGAGAGAGAGAGAGAGAGGTGGGGCTCGAAGAACCACAAGGCGTGCCCAGCGGGGCCTTGTCCAGCGGCACCGCGGCAGCAGCTGCGCTGGCCGGCACCGCCCTGGCCGAGGCACGCATCGCGCTCTGCGGCGCGGGCGCCTGTGCCCCCGCGAGCCCAGCCGACCGGGCCAGGAGGAGCGCCAGCGCCACGGCCACCATCGCGCGCAGACCGGCGGCCTGCCTTCCTCGAGTGAAGGCCTCCAAGCTCTGCCAGTCTTGCGTATGAGGAGGAGGAGGAGGAGGAGGCGGAGGAGGAGGAGGCGGAGGAGGAGGAGGAGGAGGAGGACGGGGAGGAGGATGAGGAGGAGGGGGGAGATTAGGAGGAGGAGGAGGAGGAGGAGGAAGTACTCGAAGGGGGACACCTCTACAAGGAAGGTGCTGAGCCTAGGCCCCAGGCCCCGCTCTGCAGCAGCGGTGGTGCCGGGGTGGCCGGCTCCGCCAGGGGCGCGGTGGGGGTTCTGATCAGTTGCCCGGGAATTCACCAGAGCAGGCGGGGCAAGGACGGCCGAAGAAAGCCCAAAACCAAAAATCGGCAGCCACGAATTCCCAGTGGCCCATGAAGGCCTAAGTGCGACTCGTCAAATGGAATCTCCAGACAGACGCCCACGGCCACTCGCCGACCGTCGCCGACAAGTCCCAGACCGAGCAGGGGACCCACCCAGCAGCTTCCAACAGCCTGTTCAGGAAGCCCGCGGGACGAAATTACCCTGATTTTTGACAGCACCCAGGGAAGTCAGGCCTAGTTGGGATGTTCGCATCGCACAACTCCGCTGAACTCCTGATGGAATGCGGGTTTATACTCGACAACACCCAAGGATGCCAGGGCTGTGCCAACTTCACGCCGCTCCGTTGGACTCCACATTGTGCGCATGAACAGGTGACGATGACCTAGCTCGGATCCGCGCTGCTCCGCTGGGCTACCGAGCGGCGCCAGGAGTGGCGACACCTTGACGCACGGCAGCACCCAGGAAGGCGAAGTCGAGCTTGGATCCCAATCACGCGACGCTCCGCTGGACCCCCCAGCGGCGCAGAAAGCGGAGGTACGTCTACGCCTGGCAGCGTCCAACGGGGGCGATGCCCATTTTGGGTGCGCGTATCGAGACGCTCCGTTGGACTCCCCTGGAGACGCTGCGTTGGACTCCCTGGAGGCGAAGGAAATGGCGGCAACACGACGGCTGACATCGCCCAGGGGAACCCGGTCTTGGTTCGATGTCCGTATCCCGCCGCTCCGATAAGCTCCCGAGGTAGCCAGAAAGTGGATGGCACTTCTACCCCTGAGAGCAATCAAGGGGGAGGACGTCCATATCGCACCGCCCCGCTGGGCTCCACACTGGGGGGGGAGGTTCAGCTTGGAGACCCGCATTGCGTGCGCCGCTCCGCTGAACCTCCCCCAGAGCGAAGGGCATGGCGACACCAGAACCTCTGGATGCCGGCATCGCGCCGCTCCACTGGGTTCCGCACTGGGTGCAGAAAGTGGCGACAGATATACGCTTGGAAACGTTCAGGGATGCGGAGTCCAGCTTGAGGGCCCGCATCGCGCCGCACGGCTGGACTCCACATGAGCGCACAGAGATCGGCGGCAACTAATCGGGGATCTTCTGACCCGGGTCAATCCAGACCCGGGTCAGCAGGAAACCAAAAACTGCAATGCAAGAAAAAACAACTGCAACGCAAATCTTCGCAAACCCGGGTCAGCCAATATGCGCGGCCGCCTCGCGGCCACGAGCGGCTCGCTAACCCGGGTCAGCCAGAGGGGGTCTTCGCAGGATCCTGCAGGATCTGGTGCCCTGGCTGACCCCCGTTTGCATTGACCTCAAGGCTCCCGAAGCTATTCGGATGGGAGGAGACCCGGGAGAGAGAGGTGATGCCAGGAGAGAGAGAGAGAGAGAGAGGATGCCAGGAGAGGAGGAGACCCGGGAGAGAGAGGATGGGAGGAGACCCGGGAGAGAGAGGTGATGCCAGGAGAGGAGGATCAACAACAATTCTCGAAGAGCGGGGGGGGATGAGGCGGACGCAGGGGCGAAGCAACAGCCCCAGTACCCATCGAAGGATGGCGGTGCACAAACATAGCCCAGAACCTATGATTCAACAGAGACTGCTAGAATCTAGTAGTCTCTGCTGCCTTTGTTTTGTTCTACGAACTAGCAAGTAGATCTGCCCGTCCGTCGCCTTTGTTGTGCTCTACGACGCCGCCGCCTGTGCTAGCATACCTGCAAGACTGCCTTCATGGCCGCTTCACGCGGATCCCCGGCGGCCCAGGAGGTACGCCGTAACGGGCCCCAGGGCGCCAGCAAAACCCCACCACCCCCTTCCCGAATTCCACCCCCACCCCGGACACCACCACTCCATTCCTCAGTCGTTCCCACCGAAACCACTGCGCCAAACTCTCCCCATTCCCCATTCACGCGTTCTACTCCCCCATTTTCCCCGTTGCAGCTTCTCACTCCCCACCAAGCCGCCCCTCGCCCCCCAGACAACCACCCCACCCGATCGTCCCTCCCCCCGACACATGAAATGCTCGTTCTGGGGAGCTTCCTGGAACCTCTCGGGAAACTCGTGCGTCGAGCCGATGCTGCGTCGAAAATCCGTCGCATTGAGTCGAACGTGTGCCGAACCAGAAGCGAACTCGAGTCGTAGAGCCGAACTAGAATCGAACCGATCCGCTAGGTGGGCCCCGAGGTCCCCAAAACGAACATCGAAAACAAACGTGCCAGAGACAACCGAAAACCAGCTCAAGACCCCTGAAGCAACCCCCCTTATCCCCCAAGACGACCCCTATGACAGACACCCTTGGACATCCCAACGGCCCCGACACGTCCTTCTCAAACGGCGCCAGCACTCCCAAAGTGTCCCAGGAAAACCTCTCAGGTATATTTCGAAAGAGCACACACACACACACACACGCGCCCACGAGGCCCCAACACCCGCACGATAATTGTAGAACCGTAAATGGCATCCCAAACTATTGCCAAAGACCAGCCCGAAAACGTTTCAAGGGAGCGTGGCAGCTTCCTCCTTCCCATTACCCCCTCCTCCTCCTCCTCCGCCTCCTCCTCCTCCTCCTCCTCCTCCTCCTCATGTGCCCCACCCCATCGTCCTCATTCTCCAGCTCCGCCTGATCCTCCTCCTCCTCCTCCTCCTCCTAGTTCACCTCCCCTCCTTTGCCTCATCCTCATCTCGCTCCTCCTGCCCCCCAGCGTGGCCCGAAGAGGGCGCCCCCGTGGCAACAGCGCGAGCCCAAAAAACCCATGGGACAGTGACAATTCGGCCCTGGCCCCAAATGGCTACGCCCCGTGCCACGACCCTCTCGGGTGCCTCCCGCTGCACCCAAACCAGCGGCACGGGCCGTGGGGCATCTGCAGCTTCGGAGGCCAGCGATGCGCCCTCCACCTTCGGAGGGCCGAGGGTGGAGGAGGAGGAGGAGGAGGAGGGGGAGGAGGAGGAGGAGGAGGGAGAAGGAGCGAGGAGGAGGAGAAGGAGAAGGGGGAGGAGGAGGAGGAGGAGGAGGAGGAAGGAGGGAGGAGGGAGGAGGAGGAGGAGGAGGAGGGAGGAGGAGGAGGAGGAGGGAGAAGGAGGAGGAGGAGGGAGTAGGAGGAGGAGGAGGGAGGAGGGAGAAAAAAGGAGTCCCTGGCCAAGGGCCGAAACCTTACGCCTCTTGGCGCTCGGAGCCTCCGTGGTTGCAGCGGCGCGGGGGCTTCCAGAGAGGCCGCGCAGCCGGATCTGGGAACAAACGGCCATCCGAAGGGGGGGCGGGGGGGGGTCCTGGTGCTCATCCTGCTGCACCTCGTGCGCCGTGGAACAATCATGCCGTGCAACTTGAGCGAAGTCTGCGCTGCAGCAGCCCGACTCTTGCTCTGCACCCTGCCGCCCCACGGCTCCTGCCACAAGGGTTCACGGCCGAGACCTGGGCCAACACTGCAACAACTCTTGCGCGCATGCATGCGCACGGCACGGGTAACGACTTTTGCGTTGGGAGCCGTAGAAGGTCCTGGCCATAGGCAAACACAGCCTGATGGTGGAAATATTGGGGCTCCAACTCTCTCTATTCCTCGCCTTCTCTCTCGGTTCCCCCAGATGCTGGATCAAGTGGTTAAGCACTGATGTCGAACCTGTGCCAAAGTCAAGGAAGATCTTGTCGCTCCATCGATCCAATCTACCCAAGCCGCATGGCTCGCGCTAGTGAAACTGCCTGCGCAATGTCACGTGAGGCTCCCATCTCCCGCCTCGTTGGCCACTCCTCCTTCTCCTCCTCCTCCTCCTTCTCCTCCTCCTCCTCTTCTTCCTCCTTCTCCTCCTTTTCCTGTTCCTCCTCCTCCTCCTCATCCTCCTCCTCCTCCTCCTCCTTGGCACCTCACCCTCGTACACATGACAGCATCAACGACGTAATAGCCACCATCACACTATGACTGTGTTCACATATGGCTTCTCCTGCTCAGGCTGATCATCTTCACCAGTATAATAATTGTCACCGTTCCTCCTTGTCCCCCTCCTCATCCTTATCTGGCGTTACCCATCGTTTCTCATTGCTCTGCCTTCTTCGCTCCTCACTGCAGCTTCTCCTGTCCACCCACCTCCTGCACGAATCATCCCTGCCTCCTTCTTCCCAGTCCTGCTCCTGCCCTTCCTGGTCCATCCTGGTGTGTCATGTTCTGGTCAGGCTACAGCCCCGCCTGGCCGACGCCGAACTCCGCCTTCCTGTTCCTGGTGACGCTCGAATCGAACATTGACCCGTCCTGCGTCTGTGAGGCAACACTCGGAGTGGGGAAGGCCTCCCAAACCATCCCTTTTTCTTCCCCAAACCACATCCCCTCCCTCTCTCAATCCTTATCCGCCACGGTGCCCTCGGGCACGAGTTGGAGTGTCCTCGAGTCCCTTGCCCAATTTCCTGAGCCAGCTCTCAACCCTGAGGATTAGTTAGAGCATATCTTCGGCGTGGCAAGTGTTGCCGCCTGAATTATTCAAAGCCGACAAGGCCCCACGACGGTCCGGTCCACGAGGGCTTCGAATCGCCGAGCGAGCGCTCCAAGACGCCCAAGGTGACTCCAAGATGGCCCAAGAAGCTTCGAGACGCCCCAAGAGAGACCTGAAAGCCTTCCCAGGGCCCCGAGAGGCTCAGATCCTTGATGTTGCTTAGGTTAGGTCTCAGGTGGTTCGATGTTTCTGCGGTTTTCGACGTTTCGATTTTCTGACGTTCCAAGGCGGCCCAAGAGGCCCCCAAGACCGCCCAAAGACTGCCCAAGATGCTCCCAAGAGGGCCCCAAGATGGCCCAATACGCACCACGGTCCACGAGAGCCACAAAACAATCCCAAAAAGGGCCCAAGAGCGGGAGGCCCAACCGACAATCCGAGCCTTCCGTCCCAAGATGCCCACAGGATCACCCAAGAGGCCCCCAAGGAGGGCATCTTCCGAAGCATCGCAACTCCCTCCCCGAGACCTTCGAGAGGCCTCCCGCGACATCCCAACGCACATCCCAGAGACCTGTGACCCACAAGCCAGGCAAGGTGGCGGGATGGGCCGAAAGCCATTCGATCCGCCGCCCCCTGTGGCTTGCCACAGGGGTGCACGGCGTGCCAGGCGTCTAAGGGTTTATGGTATCTCCTTAAACACTCGATTGTTTACCTAACAGCGAAGACTGATAGGTTTCTAGTAGGTTCAAAAGAGAGCATCATGACGCCCCAAGGGGGTCTGGGCGCGATCCGGGGGAGGATGCCGGGGGGATGCCGGGGAACTCGTTTTAAGCAAGCAGTAACGCACTTCGTGGTCTTCGAGTTCCCAGAACTCCATTCCTGGGCATCCTGGGCATGATTTTGAATGCCCGGAGCCAACTGTAGGCCACTTCGTGGTCTTCGAGTTCCCAGAACTCCATTGCTGGGCATGATTTTGAATGCCTGGAGCCACCTGTAGGCCATTTCGTGGTCTTCGAATTCCCAGAACTCCATTCCTGGGCTACATTTTGAATGCTGAGGCAGGCTGATGCTGAGGCTGAGGCTGGCTGAGGCTGAGGCAGGCTGAGGCTGAGGCCGAGGCTGAATGCAGACTGAGGCTGAGGCTGAAGCAGACTGAGGCTGAGGCTGAGGCTGAGGCTGAGGCGACTTGAGGCTGAGGCTGAGGCAGGCTGAGGCTGAGGCAGGCTGAGGCTGAGGCAGGCTGATGAGGCTGAGGCTGAGGCAGGCTGAGGCTGAGGCCGAGGCTGAAGGCAGACTGAGACTGAGGCTAAAGCAGGCTGAGGCTGAGGCTGACGCAGGCTGAGGCTGAGGCTGAGGCAGGCTGAGGCTGAGGCAGTCTGAGGCTGAGGCTGAGGCTCATGCAGGCTGAGGCTGAGGCTGAAGCAGGCTGAGGCTGAGGCCGAGGCTGAAGGCAGACTGAGGCTGAGGCTGAGGCAGGCTGAGCCTGGGGCTGAGGCAGGCTGAGGCTGAGGCTGAGGCAGGCTGATGCTGAGGCAGGCTGAGGCTGAGGCTGAGGCTGATGCAGGCTGAGGCTGAGGCAGGCTGAGGCTGAGGCAGGCTGAGGCTGAGGCAGGCTGAGGCTGAGGCTGATGCAGGCTGAGGCTAAGGCTGATGCAGGCTGATGCTGAGGCAGGCTGAGGGTGAGGCCGAGGCTGAAGGCAGAATGAGGCTGAGGCTGAAGCAGGCTGAGGCCGAGGCTGAAGGCAGACTGATGCTGAGGCTGAAGCAGGCTGAGGCTGAGGCTGAGGCAGACTGAGCTGAGGCTGAAGCAGGCTGAGGCTGAGGCTGACGCAGGCTGAGGCTGAGACTGAGGCAGGCTGATGCTGAGGCAGTCTGAGGCTGAGGCTGAGGCTCATGCAGGCTGAGGCTGAGGCAGGCTGAGGCTGAGGCCGAGGCTGAAGGCAGACTGAGGCTGAGGCTGAAGCAGCTGAGGCTGAGGCTGAGGCAGGCTGAGGCTGAGGCAGGCAGGCTGATGCTGAGGCAGGCTGAGGCTGAGGCTGAGGCTGATGCAGGCTGAGGCTGAGGCAGGCTGAGGCTGAGGCCGAGGCTGAAGGCAGACTGAGGCTGAGGCTGAAGCAGGCTGAGGCTGAGGCTGAGGCAGGCTGAGGCTGAGGCTGAGGCAGGCTGAGGCTGAGGCAGGCTGAGGAGGCTGAGGCTGAGGCTGAGGCTGCAGGCTGAGGCTGAGGCAGGCTGAGGCTGAGCTGAGGCTGAAGGCTGAGGCTGAGGCAGGCTGAGGCTGAGGCCGAGGCTGAAGGCAGACTGAGGCTGAGGCTGAAGCAGGCTGAGGCTGAGGCTGAGGCTGAGGCTGAGGAGGCTGAGGCTGAGGCTGAGGCTGAGGCTGAGGCTGAGGCTGATGCAGGCTGAGGCTGAGGCAGGCTGAGGCTGAGGCTGAGGCTGAGGCAGGCTGAGGCTGAGGCAGGCTGAGGCTGAGGCTGAGGCTGAGGCTGAAGGCTGAGGCTGAGGCAGGCTGAGGCTGAGGCCGAGGCTGAAGGCAGACTGAGGCTGAGGCTGAAGGCTGAGGCTGAGGCTGAGGCTGAGGCTGAGGCTGAGGCTGATGCTGAGGCAGGCTGAGGCTGAGGCTGAGGCTGAGCAGGCCGAGGCTGAGGCAGGCTGAGGCTGAGGCGAGGCTGAAGGCAGACTGAGGCTGAGGCTGAAGCAGGCTGAGGCTGAGGCTGAGGCAGGCTGAGGCTGAGGCTGAGGCAGGCTGATGCTGAGGCAGGCTGAGGCTGAGGCTGAGGCTGATGCAGGGTGAGGCTGAGGCAGGCAGAGGCTGAGGCCGAGGCTGAAGGCAGACTGATGCTAAGGCTGAAGCAGGCTGAGGCTGAGGCTGAGGCAGGCTGAGGCTGAGGCTGTGACTGCGATTGCCGTTGCCACTGCGACTGTCATCGCGAATGCGACTACGACTGCGAGAACAGCAGAATTCTACAACTGGATTCTCATCTGAATCTTGAAGGGAATGCTTCCAAATATGCTCCTACACATCGCTGTTAGGTTGCTTTGCCGGGAGAATTTTAAAATTACCTTCCGACTGCCCAAAACCGCCCAAGAGGACCCAAAGATCTCCAACGAGGCCTCGGAGATGCCCCCCCTCCGAGGCCCAAGAGGCCCCCAAATCGGTCCCAAGAGGGCCCCAAGACGCCCCAAGAGGCTTCTAAGGCGCCTAAGATGGCCTCCAAGACAGCTCTTCAGCGCTCCAAGAGAGTCCCAACACCCAAATGGCAGCACAATGTCTCCAAGACGGCCCACGATGCAGATAAGACGGCCTAAATTGGCCTCAACATGGCTTAAGACTGCCCAACAGGCCCCCAAGAGGCCCCCTAAACGGCCCAAGATGCCTCCATGAGGTCCTTCAGGAAGTCCTGAAATGGCCAAGGTCACTGATGTCCCTTTGGTCTTTGAACGGTTTGGGAATTTGCTCCACGCTGGTCTCCCGACGACCCAAGACGAACCAGTAGGGTTCCAAGGTCGCCCACAAATCACCAAGAAGCCTCCAATCTGGCGCCATGACGCCCACTTTGCCCCCCCCCCCCCCCTCCCCCCCTGAGACGGCCCCAAAAGGGCCCACAGACGGTCAACAACAATCCTGGGACGACGCTCGAAATGGCCTCCAACACAGCCCCCCAGCGCGTTGGGCCCAAGGGAGCAGCCCAATGTAGCCAGATGCCTCCACGACAGCCCAAGACGCAGCCAAGTTTGGCTAAGTTGGCCCCCAGACGGTCCATGACGGCCCAAGACGGCCATAGAGGCCCTCGAGAGGCCCCCAAGAGGCTTCCAAGAAGTCCTCCAGGAAGGCCCGACGAGGTCAAACTCCACGATTGCCTTTTGGTTCTTGACAGATGAGCCCCAAAGGCCACCGCGAAGGCCCCAAGAACGCCCAAGATCCCCCGGAGATGCCGCCCAAGACGGCCCGGGAGGCCCCAAGAGGACCCCCAAGGGGGCCCTAAGGCGGCCCAAGACACCTCCAAAACGTCCAGAATAATCGCCAAGGCGGCCCTGGAGCGCTCTGCGGGGGGCCCCCAGTCGGCCAAGAGAGGCCCGCACGACGGCTGCCGACAACGCCAGACGGGCGAGGAACTCTCTACGCTTACCAAAGAAGCCCCCAAGAAACTCCCAACAGCACTCCGGGAGGCCCACCCAAGAAATCCCCCAGGAGGCCACCAGAGCCCCCCCCCACCAGGAGGCCACCAGAGAGCCCCAAGAGGCCCCCAAAGAGGCCTTTCTCGGTCGGTCGGTTGGTCGGTCGATACGGGTGCAAGGAAACGACGATATCCATACTAAAAACTCAACGAATAGAAAAGGAGTGGACAGCGCAACACGATGGGAAGGCGCAGACGGGAAGCCAGGATCTGATAAGCGCGCCACGAGGTCCAGCTCCTGCGGCCCAACGGTTTGGCAAGACGGCCCCGACAGCAACGCGCGCGCATGAGGCGCATCTGGGGGTCCCTGGAGCAGTGCGCCCCTCCCCAAGACGGTCCAAGAGGGCCAGGGCCCAAAGACTGCCCCAATAGTGGCCCAAGAGGGGGAACACGAACCACCAATTCTAGCCTTCCGCCCCGAGAGTCCCCCAGGAGGCCCCAAGAGGCCCCCAAGAGCCCAGGAGGCCCCCTGGAGGCCGCACGAGGCCCCAGGAAGCCCAAAAAGAGCCCCAAGAGGCCCCCAAACGGCCCCCCAAGAGACCTCAAGAAGGGCACAATACGGGCCAGCGGAATGAGCGAAGCGATTGACTTAGACTCTGCCTCCCCCCTTGACCACCACGACCACCGAAGACGGGGCTATGCGTACGGTGTGTCACAGTGCCTCTGATATCTCTGATGCACGATTGTTCACCCTTAGACCCGAAAACTACCCCCAGCCAACCAGTATCGACCCTCCCCCCGTCATCCTTGCCAAGAGATGTGCACGCGTTGATCGAACCAAGTGTGCGCTGACAGAACCCAGAGCAAGACATACCACGCGGGCCGCGCGGGCGCGACCCCCCGCGCGGGCAGTCCCAAAACCTCCGAAAACACGGCTGCGTCCCTCAAGCAACTGGCCATCGCTCGGACGTCCATTCCCTGTCTTTTTTTCTCGGTCTCGTGCGTGGCTTTTTCGCCAAATGACCAAGGAGGCTCCTCGATGGCCCTCGCCGACGGATAAATTCACACGCCCGAGCGATGCCAAGGCAATATGCTGTCACCGACGGGCTCTTGCTCGTGCTGCCCGAGGAGTTGGCTGGGCCTGCCGAGGCTCGGCCAGGCTGCCCCCCGCTGCCGCCCGTGGGCGCCTCGCGGGCGCGCCGTGTGCCTGCTGGGCGTGCCAAGGTGTCGCCACGCTGCCGCCCGCGGCTGATCGTGGGCGCCTCGTGCGCTCGCAGGCGGTCCCAGGCGCTCCCAGGCGCTCCCAAACGCCCCCAGGCGTTCCCGGCATGTTCCCAGGCGCTCCCAGGCGCTTCCGGCACGCTCCCGGGCGCTTCCGTCCGCTCCCAAGCGATCCCAAGCGTTCCCGGGCCAGCACGATTCCGGCACGCTCCCAGGCGCTCCCAGGCGCTCCCAGGCGCTCCCAGGTGCTCCCAGGCGCCCCCAGGCGCTCCCGGCACGCTCCGTGAGCTGACAGCATACAAGCACCACATTGCTTCCACCACGCAGCTTGCATGACATAGCTTGCGCCACTGACCTTGCATCACCTAGCTTCCATCGCACGACTTGCACGACGCAGATCGCTTCAGAAAACTTACGCTGCAGAGCCTGCATACGTGACACAACTTGCACCACACAGCTGCTAGCTTGAACAGCACAGCTCACCCTGCAGCGCTTACACCATGTGGACTCACATGTTTTGCCCGATGTTGGCTGCACAACACAAACTGCACCACACAGATTGTACCGCATTCATTGGTGACACAATATAGTGTGCACAATATAGCTTGGGCCACGTAGCTTCCACCTCATAGCTAACACAACGTAGCTTGCACCTCGTAGGTTGCCCCACTTGGTTTAAACCACGTAGCTTGCCCAACATGTACATACATAAATACATGGAGTGCACCACATAGTTTCTACCAACATAGCTTGCACGACAAAGCTTGGATTGCACCATAGAGCTTACATACAGCACATAGCTTGCGCGTTGTACAGCATGCCTGGCACCGCACGACTTGCACTACATGCGTACTCATCGAGAGTGCAAGGACTCCCTGTTTGAGGTTCCACGCAGGAAAACATGAATCCCACTAGTGCAGAGCAGTTCAAGGAATAGCTGCTCAAACACATGTCGAACACACATGGCGATTCAAAAAACATGTCAGCGGTCCTGCGCATGTCAGACTCATCACGTTCGCAACTCATGTCAACAAGCATTAAGCTGGGTCAGCCGCGTGATACATTGAGCTCTAGCCGTTAAGTAGGAAAGCGTGCTCCTCACTGGCAGAGATGCGCCCCAAGCCAATCAGCTCACAGCGCTTGGACAGACTGGGCGAATGGCTGACTGAATGTGCATTCGGGTTGAAGGGGGCGAGTAGTTAGCGAGCCGCACTGAGGGCACCACGCGCGGAGTGCCCAGGAGTGTCATTCTCGACGCTGCGAGCGACAGATCACTTTGCTAGAACGCCCTGGGAGCTTGTTGACCGACCAGCCACAGAAGAGGACTGGGCTTCAGCCGAAGCCTACGACCCTCGGGCACGAAGCGAACCGCGCGGAAGCGCAACGGCAGTGGCAACAGCACCGGGAGCGCAGGGCCGAGCGTAAGCGAGTCGCTCCCAGCGCGCCACCCGAGGGCACAGAAATAAGAACGATGTCAGGTACAGGAGTTGGGTGCCAACGCGAAGAGTAGAGCCAGCCAGCGCGCGCAGTGACCGCGCAAGAGCACGCGCGAGATGCTTCGCGACACACGTCTCCGACCTTGGATGCTTCCAGCAGCTGGCGCAGCCAGTCCGCCCCGAGTCGCTGCGCGGATGTCCAGAGCTTGTCGCCGCCATCTGTCCTGCCCTTGCGCTGCATCCCACACCCAACTCGTCGCGTCTCTAGCCCTCAAGACTCTGCGCTACGACCCCGAACCGCGTTACACTTACCAGCCTCGAACGTATCCCTATCCCTAAGATTGACACGCCAAAAGGCGATGACAATCTTAGGGATTCGCCCTCAAAAAAGAAGGGAATCCCTAAGATTGGCATCGTGATGAGAAGGTGCCCAGCATAGGGATAGGGATATGTTCCAGGCTGGTAATACACGGTCAATCACACATTACCCAGGGCCAGCGCAACAATGTTGAACCACAACCCAGGCCGCAGAAAGACATCTGTGACGACACGGGCGCCCAGCAGATCTTTCGGCGAGGAGCAGCTAACAAACATATCTCCTGGAATGAACGCCGAGCGCGCAAAACCCGGATGGGAACGAACAGAATTCAGGACGGAAGAACTTTCCAAGGGCCTTGGACTTGACCGCGAGGGGGAGCGCGAGGGCGGCCAATCCGTCCGCCAGCCGGTGTAGTCTACGGTCACCCGGTCGAATGGGAACCTCGGGCGCACAGGGTTACAAGGCCTCCCAAACGCGGCCACGGACTGCCGCGCTTCTTCTCGACCGCACTATTATTCGAGCTCGACGTTGGGACTCTGGACGCTGCCATCTGCTAGCCAGTGGATTTCGATAGCAATAAAAAAACAATGGCGCTCGTACTTGCTGCATACCAAGTTTCGGTCAGTAAGCCACGACTCCCCCGATTGGAGATGCTCTGTCCACCGAGTCTGTTTCTCTTTAACTGATCGCACCGGCTATGCCTGGTCGCCCGGAAGAAAGAGCCAGCCACTCGCGGGAAGGGGGGCGCGCAAGCCTGCGTGTAAAATCTCCACGCGTGATCGAGTAGATCGAGTAGATCGAGTCGCGAGTCGTGGTCGACCATCGGGCCCCAAATCCGACCTGGAGCTGGATGGCCCGGGATGCTAGGTTTCTGCACTTAGCGGAAAGGCAGGCATCTTGGGAAAAAAGACCCCAACTGGGTCGCGACCGAGCCTGCCCTATGGGCAAATTGCCAATTAGCGCAGGGGGAGGATGATGGCAAACCAGAAGACGGCATAAACATGTTCTACCTTGAAGACAGGCAGGAAGCCAATAAAGAGGTTGGGGGAAACAGATCGTGGGACAACCATCGGGGGGCAAACGTCTGCATCCATCGATGAACGTTTGTCGACTTACCGATACACCGATCGATTATCAGTTTTCTAAATATATACATACATACATATATATATATATATGTATACACATCTACATATACATATGTTTGTATGCATGCAGGCATGCATGCATGCATACATGTATGTGAGTATGTATGTATATGTGTACGCACGAACGTATGTATGTAGGTGTGTATGCTTGTATGGTTGTATGCATGCCTGCATGTATATGCGTGTGTGTGCATGCACGTATGCATGCATGAAAACATGCGTGTACGTATGCACGTATACCTGCGTGTATGTATGCATCGGTGCTCCCCAGACACTGCTTGCACTTCGGGACTCTTACCTCCTCTTCTGAGGCACTGGACCCGTGCGCGGCCCCGGCGGCCCCGAGCCCGTCCGTTGCTGCACCACTTGTTCTCCAGGTGGAAGGCCCTGTCTGCGGGCCCAGCGGCCCGTTCCCGTCCGGCGCCGCCCGCCACCCCGCTGCACACCCCCCCCTCGTTGCACTGCAACCGCATCGCATTGCAACCGCATGGTATTGAAATCGCACTGCACTGTATTGGGGTGCGTCGCTTTGCCGTCGCAGCGCACTGCCATCGCATTGCGTCGCGCTGAAGTAGCATCGCATTGCATTGTGCGTGCATGGCTGTGCATAGCCTTGCGTTGCATTGCGCTGCGCTGATTTGCAGTGCTGTCCGTCGCATCGGATTGCGATCGCATTGCTCTGCATTGGTTTGCATTGAGTTGCACTGATCTGCATTGCGTTGCATTGCTTTGCATTGCGTTGGCTTGCATTGCTTTGCATTGATCTGCGTTGAGTTGCAGTGTTTTGCATTGCTTCACTTTGCATTGCAATGCTTTGTAATGTTTTGCGTAAGCTAGATTGCACCAGACTGGTTGCACCACCTAGATTGCACCTCATTGGTTGCCAGAAATCCATGTTTGGATCCCACGCTGCCTACATATGTACATCTAGATATGCATACCGTAGGCCCGTGTGTTTCAATATATATCTGTACCAATCGATATCACGATCTGTCGATATCACAAGATATGATTGTATATACAGTGCACGTACAACTCACTATGCACATATCGATGTGTAAATATGTATCTCGGTACCAGTATCCGTATATGTCGTTCGCAATGTCAATATACATCGCTACCTATATCACCATACACATAGCCATATACGAATAGACAACGAATTACCTGCTGGTGTGTCGACATTGGTCTCACGATCGAAATACCAATATCACAACACATAGAGTAATACTGCGGTGGGGCGCGTTGAAGGTTGCGCCAGCACCCCGGTCGCGCAGTCAGTGTAGAATTTTGTCCCATCATAGAGGAACAAAAACTGACATAAACATAACAAACTCTGAGTTCCGCGCGGATTTCTCGGATCGGCGCTGGACCCTCCTCCCTGGCGCGCGGAGCGCGCCAGGGGCGGCGCCGGAGGCGCCGCCGGGGGGCCCAGCGCCGATCCGAGAAATCCGCGCGGACCTCCGAGTTTTTATGTTTATGCCAACTTTCTGTTCCCCTACATCAACCGAAAGGGGGGAGGAACAAATTTGGAACAAATTTGGACCAGATTTGGACCGGACTTGGACTGGATTCGTGGGGGCCACGTAAGAGAACGAGGAGGGGGGGGGGAACAGGAGGGGAGAGGAGGAGCAGGACGATGGGCCAAATGCGGCCCCCACGCTGTCCACATGCAGGAAAATCTGATTTCAATGTCGCCACCCATGGCTCCCGTAGACAGACATCGAAAAACTCGGAGGTCCGCGCGGATTTCTCGGATCGGCGCTGGACCCTCCTCCCTGGCGCGCGGAGCGCGCCAGGGGCGGCGCCGGAGGCGCCGCCGGGGGGCCCCAGCGCCGATCCGCGAAATCCGCGCGGACCTCAGAGTTTGTATGTTTATGTCACCATTTGCCCCCCTACGATGGGACAAAATTCTACACTGCACGTGCGCGGCCCAAGGGGGGGCCGGGGACGTAATGAAATAAGAAGAGGCGCCATCAAATCTGAGGAAATATCATGGCCCCCGCCATGATATCCCCCCCCTAGTCTGTTCTGTCACGCAGCTCAGGAAACACAAGTTTCAGCTGTTAGTGCACTTGCTAGAAGTGAAAAGGGCAGGGCAAGGGTATGTTTATGTTTATGCCACTTTCTGTTCCCCTAGTGTAGACTGTTGTCCCGTCAACCGAAAGGGGGGAAGCACGAGTTGGACCTGTACGGCCGCCCTCCTCCAGAAAGTTGGATGCTCGTTCTGGGGACCTTCCTGGAGCCACTCGCTCCACTCGTGCGTCGAAGCTGCGTCGAACCTGAGTCGAACCTGAGTCGAACCTGAGTCGAACTTGAGTCGAACTTGAGTCGAACCTGAGTCGAACTCGGGTCGAACAGATCCGTTAGCTGGGCTCCAGGAAGGTCCCCGAAACGAGCATCGAAAGAAAGGGCAGGGACCGCGACCGACCGAGCCCGACGGGCCGCCCGACCGGCACGGCCCCGGGGGTGCCGAGGCGCGGGCGGGCGCCGGCACCCCGCGCCCACGCACGGCGACGGCTGCAGCACCTCCCCCGCGGCCAACCGGCGCCGGGAGGAGGAGGAGGAGGAGGAGGAGGAGGAGGAGGAGGAGGAGGAGGAGGAGGAGGAGGAGGAGGGAGAGGAGGAGGAGGAGGAGGAGGGAGAGGAGGAGGAGGAGGAGGAGGAGGAGGCGGAGGAGGAGGAGGAGGAGGCTGCAGCACCTCTTGAGCAGGGTCCGACCGTCCCGGCATTCCTACAGTCCTACCACGACATGTTCTTAGACCCAGACATGTTCTAAGAACCACAGCCATGTTCTTAGAACAGAACCCCGATGTGTTAAAACAAGATAGGCTCCGCCAACCATGTTCCAAGAACACTTCGCGGAAACCACAAGAGGATCTTAGAACATTGTTTGGTAGGGCTATAGGCGAGCTAGGACGCTTCGCCACTGCTTGAACCTCCCCGCGGCCAACCGGCGCCGGCTGGCTGTGGCGACCCTTTCCAGAAGTCGTCACGGAAGGGGTCGCTCTGCTGGGGGTCGGCTGGGCCGCCCCTGACCCCTCATGCCCGCTGCCCCTCTCGGGCCCCTCGCGTGGCGAGAAGATCGTGAAGGACAGGCCTCGGAACATATTAGCGAACACTCAGGCCACCTTCATCTGTCAACGCCTCCCCCTCCCCCCAATGTTCAAAGTTGGCGGTGGGTCTGATGAGATGCACTTCGACCGCAATCTCCCCCGCCCGTGCCAACATTGAGTTTGGGGGGGGAGGGGGAAGGTTCAGTAATTGTTTCCCTCTGCCGGAAGGCTTTGACAGTTTCCCGTATTCGGGGGGCGCTCACGGGGCCCCAGACTCAGGACCGTCAGCAACGGCTCTGGCTAAAAGCCGAGACCTCCAGGGATCCCCCTGTCCCCGCTCCCTCCTCGCTCCCTCGACCTTCCTCTGCAGTGGAGCAGAAAAAGAACCTCGACCAACCTAAACAGGAGGGAGATCGAGGTTTTGATGGGGGGCTCCTCGCAGTCATATCCCAGACTCGAGCTGGGTAGCCAGCCCATCTTTTGTTGGTTTGGCTAGGTGCCCTTGCTCTCTAACTATCCATTCCTCCGCCCCTCCTCCCCCCTTCCCTCCTCCCCCCTTCCGCCTCCTCCCTTCCTCTCTTATACGTCCTCCTCCCCTCCTCCCTCCTTCCCTGCCCGCTCGTCCCCCCCTTCCTCTCTGTCTTCCTTCCTCCCTGCGCCACCGCAGCGCTGGTCGATCAGGTGGCGGCGCAAGCAAGCACTTTCCACAGCGCCATCGTTTGCACTTACGAGCGCCGAGCGCAACAAGAGATGTGGAGGGCCGTCATATGTCAAGACGGTGCCACACATCGATCACCCATCTTTGCAGGAGCCGCTCAGTGGCCATGGCAGTTGCCTCGCCGTCGACAACCAACAGTCTCTAAGACCATCAGTTGTTGACTGAACCTGGGCAGCAGCTCAGCTACGGTGCGTGCCATACTTGTGCGTTTTTATTGTACCAGCATCCATCGACTGATCGCGCGCCTTCCGTTCGCGCATGTCGTCTGGATCGATCGTGTCTGCTTCCCGTCATTGAGAAGCGGCCTCAGCCAACGGGACTGGGCTACCGGTTCTGTGCACGCCCATGCGGCTCCCTCCACGCCTCCACGTGGCCATATGCTTCCGCATTTGATGCTACTGCCACTGATACTGGCACATCAACTACGACGACTGCATCTACTACCTCTACTACCCGGCTGGCGTGCAACATAGCACCTTGTTCACATCTTCCTACGGACCCGTTTCCTCGTAACACTCCTCCTTCCCTCCGCCTCATGATTCCCTGATCCTCTATCCTCAACCCCATTCCTTCCACTTAACTTCCTCCTCCTTGTCCTCCTCATCCCGTTGCTCATCAACATCATCCTTCCCTCGAGTCCTCCCCATTCCTATCCTCATCCGACGCCCACGCCAGGCCAGCACCTTATAAGCCAGGCCGCTCTGGGTCACCTGGTGGGAGGGGGGCGAACGCTGAGCAATAGCACGAGCCAGACAACCCAACCGCCTGTAGTGCAATTGCGAAGTGATGCATCTCCAGTGCGTATGGGCTCCTCCCTCTCATCTCCACCCCCTGCTCTTCCCGCAGCATCCCCCCTTTGCCATGATTCCCCACGATCTAACTTCACTTCGTTTTGGGCTGCCGCATGACGAAGGCCACTCCACGAGCATGGACCGCCAGGCAAGGATGCTGGAGAACACAAGCGAAAGACTCAATACGCGATCAACCTGGCGCCACACCTCGGGGGTGCCATTAGGGCCAAGGGCTACGCAGACCAGATCGGGGACGAGACCATGACGGCGCTGGCCTGCTGCCGCGGGGGGCAACTCGCAGGAAGGCAGCAGGTAGGGCGGAGACGCCAAAAAACCTGCAGGGCCCCAGGAGGAGGAGGAGGAGGAGGAGGAGGAGGAGGAGGAGGAGGAGGAGGAGGAGGAGGAGGAGGAGGGGGGGGAGGGGGAGGAGGAGGAGGAGGAGGAGGAGGGAGGAGGAGGAGGAGGAGGAGGAGGAGGAGGAGGAGGAGGAGGAGGAGGAGGAGGAGGAGGAGGAGGAGGGGGAGGAGGAGGGAGGAGGAAAAGGAGGAGGAGGAGGAGGGGGAGGAGGAGGAGGAGGAGAGGAGGAGGAGGACACCTTTGCTTCGCGGCGGCCCTGCAATCTCGGCCCCTCGGCTTCTCCGCGGGCGCCGTTATTGCCCGTGCCTCGAGGGGACGTCCACGGCGACGCGACGCCTCCCGAAGGAGCCCCCGAAAGGGAAAGCCAGACCGCCCAGGAACTCCCGCCGCTGCCGACCATCCCTCCTCCTCCTCCTTCTCCTCCTCCTCCTCCTCCTCCTCCTCCTCCTCCTCCTCCCTCCGCTCCCCCCCCCCGCCCCGGCCCCGCCCCGGCGGCCCCCCCGGACGCGACGGCCAGCCGCTGACCTGCGCGTCGCCGGGCGGGCCCGCGACGTCCGCGGGCGGCGGCAGGTCCCCGATCCCGAAGAGGCCCGCTCCCGCCGGCGGGGCGC